GGGGGGGGGATTATGACAATTTAAAATTCATCCAGACTCCATCTTCAGCTAAACAAACAAGACGAGCTGCATCAACTGTTTCCCTTCAGGTTGGAGCTCTGCTGTGACCTCTGACCTCTCACCCCATTCCTCCTGCTCCTCTGGGCCCACAGCAGTGATTTATTCCTCTGACACACCAACAGCTGTGCTGGGGGGCTCCAAACACAGTGGGGGCCACTATCTGCCGTGACTAATCGGAAACAGACTTCAAAAAACAGCCACGGTGAGACCGGAGGAAACAGATCTGCAGTCCGTGACACCAGAGACCTGGAGCTGCTGCTGCACAGGCTTCTGAATAACACCGGGGCTCGTAACCATGGAAACGGGTTTGCACGACGTTAAATACTGTAACGTGCACAAAATTATGGTTAAATTGTAAGTTTAGAGCTCTATAAGTGCAGTTTCTTCACAAGAAATATTTATATTTTTTATCATTTTTGTCAAAAAGAACTGTTTGTAAAAACAAAGATGGCTTCCATTTTTGTTTCCAGAAAATTTCTAGAAATGTAAATTTAAATATCCCAATTGTAGCTAAATGTTTTTTTTTAAGTAGACTGGTTCAAACCTGATTTGATCAGAACAAGATAAAATACCTTTCATTTTTCATAAAATATATTTTATTTAAAACTTCTGACAAATATAAAAAAGGGACAAATGCACAGCATCTTTGAACGTCTAGTGCTCAGATCTCTCTCTGAAGTATAAATAGTCTCCATCATTGAATCCAGCATGTGTACAGGAGTGCACGGGAGCGTGCACGGCTCCGTCAGAATTAAAACCCAGCTTTGGCTCTTCCCTGAGAAGTCTGTGTTGAGGTTGATTGATCCTTCGCTGGTCTTGAGTCAGCGCCTCATTCGCAGCGGAGCCAGCCCTCGCAGTTTCAAACACTCCTTTCCATCCTTCACCTGCAAAAACATCAAAGATCAAAGAAATCTGAGTCGTTTCACCACAAAACTGGATTAACCTGACGCTGTTCGCTTCAACGCAAAGATTTTACATTCTGACAAAACAATAAGAGTTGGAAGGCTTGTGACCCAAAGAATTGCTTATTAAAATTAAAATGGCTGCTGACAATCTAAATATTTAATGATAAAACAAAACTATTTGAATTTTTGTCATTTATTATTTCTTCTGACAGTATTAATAAAACGTGCAGTCACTTCTTACACTGAACCTGAGCTCTGGAGATCATTTCAAGTGTCCCCACTGCGTTTGTGGTGACCCACAGTGGGATCCCGAGCCCACACTTGATAAACAGAGCGCCATGAGGCGGTGCTGAACAGAAACCAGCCCTGTGTTTATACTTTACCAGATAATCTGGCTTTATATTTTACCAGATAATCTGGTTTTATACTTTACCAGATAATCTGGTTTTATATTTTACCAGAAAATATGTGTTTATACTTTACCAGATAATCTGGTTTTATATTTTACCAGATA